TCTTTGTTGTTGCGTTTGGTTTTTTTTTTTTTTTTTTAATTTAAGCTTCTTAACGGCAAAGTTTGGATCAGAAAAAAAGACACCAACTTTTTGCAGTGAAGTTTTATTTGGTTTGCTTGTTCGCTTGTTTGTTTTGTACAATTATATTTGAAAGAGAGGAACTAGGGAGAAAATCAAGTTGCAAATCTATGCCCCAGAAAATTGAGGTGGGGGATGTCAGTGGAAAGCATTTGCCTGGCCATTGACAAATAAAAACAAGTGGGTTTATCTGTACCCAAAATAAATCAACATCAGCCATGACTCACTATACAGCTTACTTGCGAAATACAACGGTGAGACTGAAAATGTAACCAGCCTTGTAGAGAACTTTTTAAAAGAGAAAATAGACGATAACTTGGTGCATCCGTGTATGCAACAGAAGAGACGCAGTGCAAAAATTTGTGTGGCAGACAAAAAAAAAAATCTTAAGGGTAATAGCCAGGTGGGGAAAATTTAACCAAGTTTTTCTGAAGAACTTGTTTTATTTCAAAATGAGAAATAGCTGGAAAATAAGATTAAAAATCTACATAGCTGCAAAATTAGAATCCCAGGTGTAAAACATTTACGAGGCAGTCAAAAAATCAAATGTTCAAGGCAATGGCCAAAATGGAAAATTGTTTCCGGCTCGTTCGTCCATAATTTTGTAAAAAGAGAGGGACAACAAATTTGAGCATCGGCCTATGTAAAAAATAAGATGAGAATTCACACTGCGTAATATTTGTGTGGCAGTCAAAAAATACAAGGTTCTTAAAGACAATGGCCAGGTGGAAAATTGGAGCCATCTCTTGTGTAGCAATTTCTCTCAGTATGACGGAACCAGCAGGTTTTCCAGGCTGGTGGTTTGATTGCAGGTCGAGGTTCGTGATTATTTTGGTATATTTGCCCTGGGGGCTCGAGGCCAATCAGATTTCTTGTTAGAATGTTGCCTATTATTGTCTGTTCAAATTATTGCTAAGAATTCAAGAAAAAATACATTTAAGAAGAAAACATTGTGATGCTTTTTCCTCCCCCTCTGAGCAGAGTAACAGGCATTTAATGAGCAAGAACCCGCCAGGTGGAGTGAGAGCGTAAGAGCCTTCTACTGCTGCTAACTAGGAGAGTCCCCCCTGTAGAGAAACGGCGGCCACTTCAACTGTGGGGGCTCTGCGTTCAGCTCCTACTCCTACATGCACCTATCTATCCCATTACAGCATCCAGCTATCTAGCTATCCCTATCCACCCTATCTATCCCTGTACACCCCCTCTATCTATCTATCTATCTATCCCCATCCACCCTATCTATCCCTGTACACCCCCTCTAGCTATCTATCTATCCCTGTACACCCCATCTAATCTATCTATCTATCTATCCCCATCCACCCTATCTATCCCTGTACACCCCCTCTAGCTATCTATCTATCCCTGTAC